TCAGCTCGATTCCAGTCCCAGGCCAACCACTGAGTACCTAAGTTGACCATAGACGTGTCATTCTGTTTCTTGAAGCCTCAGTATTCACCTCTGTAAAATGAATGGAACAAGAGCATTTTCCAGGCCCAGGAGATAGTACAGGTATCAGCAGTGGCCATGACCCTGGCTCAAATATCTGTCAACCACCTATGGTCTCCTGATTACTGTCAAGGGTGACTCCTGAGCACAGAGCCAAGAATAGCTCCCTGGGCACCACTGGATATGCACCCCCTGGTACCCCTCCCAAGTTATAAAAAAAAAAAAAATAAAAAGCATCTGTTTGACAGGTCTCACTGCAACACACGGCAGGATGGCAGGACCTCTGCTTTTGTTCTATAGAAGGGGCCTACTATTTCCTCATACTCCAAGTTACTCACTGGAAAGATAAGGCAGGCTTCAGCTGCCTTTCTCCAAGAGACCTTCTAGTGCCATGAAACTGCAGTGTTAGCAGCATGATGAGGTCAGGTTGTGGGGGTGTAAGTGGAAACCCCAGGTGAGCTGCCCAGGCAGCCCGCACCCCTGGCTCCTGGGGTTGAATCAGTCTCCCAGGCCTGTGGGCGGAAGTGTTGCAAGCTGGTGGTTTCCATGGTATCCACAGAGGCGCCAGCTGAGCTGCACTTGGCTCTAATGATGGTGAAACTCCAGGTCAGTACAAATAAAGGCCCAAGAACCAGACTCAAGGGAGGCTCCTGGGAAAGAGGGTAAATGGAGATGGTCCCTCAGGACCCTCCCAGCCCTCTATCCCCTGGTTCCTGGTGCTCAGGCTGGCAGGGACTCTCTATCCTGCTTTGCCCATGCCACATGACTGAACCCTGGTGGCATGTCAGAACTGCCCACAGAGCTGTCAGAAGTCCTAGTGCTTGTGTCTCATCCCCAGGGACTCTGACAGGATTGTTCTGGAAGTCAGAATTTTTTTTGGCAGGGGCGGTTACACCCAGCCGATGCTCAGGGGTTACTCCTGGCTCTGCACTCAGGAATCTCTCCTGGCGGTGCTTGGGGGACCATATAGTAAGCTGGGAATCAAACCCGGGTCGGCCGCATGCAAGGCAAACATCCTACCTGCTGTGCTATTGCTCCAGCCCAAGTCAGGATTTTTTTAACAATCTTCCCAGATGGTCTCAATGCACAGCCAGGTTTGAGAACCACTGGCAAAGATGCCGGGAAATTAATAGCGATTAATCCTCACAATCTATGTACTAGATACTATGCTAAGCCCTTGATCGATATCACCTCCTGTAATCCTCACAATAATCCCTGTTTTTGAGATTTAAAAAAAAAACATGCTCAGAAAGGAGAAGTGACTTTGCAAGGCCAAAGAGCAGCAGTCTCAGCCCCCCTGGCTGACCCGGAGTGATAATGGATAGTGTCTAGGTTCCTTTCCTTGTACACAGCCAACCCAAGTTTCAACCCCAGTACCCCTTATTCTCCCCTGAACCTGCCAGGAGTGATCCCTGAGTGCAGAGTCAGGAGTCAGCCCTCAGCACCACTGGGTCTGGCCCACCCCCCCAAAAAAATAAAAACAGCCTGTCATGGCTGGCATGGTAACCCCTTAATACTTATCTGAGGCTACATGACACAGAAGATAGAAATTGTTGGGGCAAGCCCCTCAAGGATTCTCCATACCCAAGGGGAGCTTATCCCGGACCCAAGCTGAGGTCCCTAGTCCTGAATGTCCCCCTTATCTTGCCCCATTGGATGGGAGCACTGATAAACTAGAGGTGCTGCTTCTCTGAAACCTAGAGGCTCTTGGGGTTTTAATTTTACCAAGTTTTCATTTGGGAAAATGAAAACCTTTTCATTTGGGAAAGATGCAACCCAAGGTCCCGTGCTCTGAGATGGGGAGCGTGCATTTCCCCCCAGCTCTCCTGATGAATGAGGCTCAGCATCCAGTGAGATTTGTTCCCAGGGGCATGGGGAGTGAGTAGTTGGAATAACAGTTTTTTTTTTCACCAAGTGTTTGAGGTTTATAACAGACTAGGGGAGGGCTGGTGGGGAAGAGGGAGTTATCCATAAAATAGTTCCAGAGCCTTTTTATTTGGAGTTTCACTTAAATTTCGTAATAGGCAACCCCAGCAGGTACCTGTTTTACTGTCAGTAAGAGGAAATTGGGCTGCAGTTATGAGAAGGATCTGTGAGTTGTTTAAATCTCAATTTTAGGGGTGTGTGTGTATGTGTGCGTGTTTTTAAAAGAATGTTTACAAGGCTTGGGGATTGGAGTTGAGCCGCTTTCGATGAAAATGACATGGAAAATATTTTCTTCTCTTATTTTAAACCTTCCCCCTTTGCTGTTTCTTTTTTTTTTTTTTTTCTTTCTTAAATTTAGCAATCAAGAACACGTAAGCAGATCTAGCTAGGGAAGAAAAAAACCAAAACAAGTCAGGCAGGTTTCAAAAGTTTAATCAAAGTAATAGGCTGAAAATAAAACTCTCCAAGATGAGAAACCGTTCCTCCCCTTTATGGAGCAGGGTTATTATTCCAGCGAAAATAATTGCAGACACAATTGACCTTATTGGACATGGAAATGCAGGATTTGGCACTTTGCAAAAAGACAAAGATGAGGTGGAGGCAATTGCCTCCCCGTGTGCCAGGAGCTGCTGGCAGGAGAGTGGGGCTATCACTCACTGCCCCAGACTCTTGATCTTTACCCTGGGACTGCTTGAGCCATGGTCCACTTGGGACCCTTTACCCCAAAGCCTAGCCACACCCTTGCCTGCTGACGAGAGCGGGGGATGCAGCTCTGCGTTCTGGTCACTGGGCCAGATCCAGGGTTGAACTGGATGGCGGCCACCCACACTGTACTGTTGCTTTGGGTGACTCATGGGCTGGTCTTTGTTTGATTGTTTTTGTCTTTTGGAAATTGGATTTTCGGGGGTCTAATACCTCTGCACCTTTGATTCTTAGAGGACATCCAATTAGAGGAACTTGAACTGAAGTCAAGCAAAAAATAAATGAAAGAGAGATGGGGAGAGGCACACGTGAACAGTTAGAACTGTTCTAGGGACTGGGATTTGGCTCAGCTCTGGGCACTTGCGTGGCAAGTGTGAAATCCCAGGTTCAAATCCCCACACTGCAGTGGGGTGGGAAATCCCTAAATAAATAAACACAGTTCTCTCCCCCAGTGAACCTATGGGATAATTAGGAGGCATAGTCTCTCTTTGAGAGGGTTAGAAACGCATCGGTGGGGTTGGAGTGATAGGACAGCAGGTAAGGTGCTTTGCCCTACACAGCTGACCTGGCTTCCATCCCCAACACCCCATATGGCTCCAAGCCCACCGAGAGTGATCCCTAAAGTGCAGCCAGGAGTAAACCCTGAGCATCGCCAGGTGTGGTCCCCAAACAAACCAAAGAACAAATCCCTGTGTAGGTTTTTGTTCTTACTTTTAGCTCCTTGACCAGCAGCCCGGGGCTTTATCCCTTATCCCTGAGCCCAGGGTGGACATGGGGCAAGAATCAGCAGCTGTTCTTTCCCCTGGTGAGAAGGACCCACAGCATCTCTCTTTAATCTTAAAGCTGGATCCTTCTAGCCAGCCAAAGACCATGTCAGAACCTTCCCCCTTCCTCCTTTCTTCTTTCTGTCTTTATGAAACGGAGTTTGAGTCCAACTGAGCTCAGTCACATCTGTCGAGTCCCTGGCATGGCACCAACTCTGAGCATCACATCTCTTGCCCCTGGGAACCCCTGCGTTGAGCAGGGGCCTGCGCCCAGTGGTCCCTGGAGTTTTCTGTTCCCAACTGACAGCTCGGGCTCTGGCACCAATGACAGGGTGCAGCCTAGCAGGAAGGCCAGGAGAGATCAGATCTCCAGACCCTTCAGTGTGCCCAGGGTGGCCAGAGGGCCCAGGGGACCGGGCTGCCGGGGCATATTCCCCAGCATCAGCCCACTCGTGTCCCCTCCTGCATAGGTCCTGCTGCATTCCACGGGACCATTCTGGACCAGGCCTGAGACAGAGGCCCCCAGACAGCTGTGCATGAACAGTTTCCACATGCCTTCTCGCTGCCCCTGTGCGCCCACAGTCCCAGCTGGGGCTCAGCGGTACAGAAGGGCCAGACTCAGGGTGCAAGCACAGATGCGCACGCAGATGTACACACACACGCGTGGCCAGTGGTGTTTTAGGGCACTCCTCGGGACATCCGGCCAGCAGTTGGTTTCGAATAATGAGGTGTCAGCATTCATCTATCCATCCATTCATCTTCCATGAGTCTTTCCCTGGTGTCTTTCAGGGGGAACCGTGGGAGTATGGAGTAGGCTGTGGCTTAGAAGAGGGAGGCCGGGTCTTGGTCTGCCACCTGTCACTCCCCAGCACTTAGCACTGGTGTCCCCGGAAGGTCTGACCTGGGGACACTCTCAACAGCAAACTCTAGGTCCCAAATGAGCCCCATCCTGGTCTGTACGTCTGTCGGGTGCTGGTGGCTGTAGGCGTCATCTGCCAGGGGGAATCTAGCAGCTCTGGGACGACCTGCTGATGTGCCCCGGCCCTCCCACAGGCCTGGCCTGGCATCAAGTGCCAGTTTATCCCTAGCACACTGTCCATCACCTGTGTACAGGTTGCTCAGTGACTGTCCGCTCAGGTTAGTCTCATGTCGGGGCTCAGGTGCGCCCCAGACATCACCCTCTCTGAACCCAGCCCAGTGTGTGCGTCCATCAAGTCTCCGGGCTCCAGAGTTGGGGCAGCGGGGGTCATAGCCAGAACGTGGCATTCCAGAGCTCTTGAGCCTGAGCTTGTGCATTTGCAGAAATAAACTTTATTTTCTAAACAGGGCAGATTTAGGTTCACAGCAGAAGCGAACAGAAGACAGAGTTCCCATGCTCTCCCTCCTGCACCCCTCCCCCCTGCTGTGCATGTACTATTCAACTTCCCAAGCCTCAGTTACCTCATCTGTATAGCACGGGGTTGAAAGAACCTTCTGGAGGTTGTGTCAATCCCCCCCAGGGGGCCTCTCTGACCCCGACCTTTGTCTCAGGTGACCGGCACGCCCTCTAGAGGCTTTGACGAGAAGGCGTACCTGTCGGCCAAGCTGCTGAAGGCTGGCGAGGACCCCTACAGGCAGCATGCCTTCAACCAGCTGGAGAGCGACAAGCTGAGCCCCGACCGGCCCATCCGGGACACCCGCCACTACAGGTACGGACCCCCCACACACCAGGGTACAGGGGATGTAGACGGAGGAGGCGTGGTGGATGGGACAGCATCCACGTACAAGTCCTCAAGGGTAAGTTAAATTTCCACAAGCAAGACCTTTCTGCCCTTATTCCCCCCACCCCCCATACACACACACTTTTTGGGCTCCAGAGTAGCCACCTCAGAGGTAAAGACAATCTTTTTAAAAAAAATTGTGGTGGAAGGTGGAAGGAGCACACCCAGTGATGATCAGGGCTTCCTCTTGACTCTGCACTCAGGGAATCACTCCTGGTCAAGTGTGGGGAACCATATGGGTTGCCGGGGAGTGAACCTGGGTTGGCCCCATGCAAAGCAAGCACCCTGCCTGCTAGACTCTGGCTCTGGCCAGGCCCAGAGAGACAGAAGTGCTAACTCCACATCTGCCGTGTGTGACAGACCCGGGTGGTCATTCCACGCTGTAGGCGTGCTGGTGGGTCTCGGCACCCTCTGATGGCTACAGAGCCCAGCCATCACCGGCTCTCAGGGACTCTTCTCAGAGGAAGCACACCGAGAGATGCCGTGGGGGTGTCTGTGTGCGGCTGTGTGCGCGCAGCGTGTGTGCAAACAAGGCAGGAGGTGGGAGTGCGTGAAGAGCTGGGTGAGAGGCGCAGAAGCGCGGGTGGGGGAGGGCGGCCTGGCTCTTGGGGCGCAGGGAAGCCACACTCGGTCCGCACAGGAGAGCGGAGCTCCTTCCACCTTCCACCACAATTTTTTTTTAAAAGATTGTCTTTACCTCTGAGGTGGCTACTCTGGAGCCCAAAAAGTGTGTGTGTATGGGGGGTGGGGGGAATAAGGGGCAGAAAGGTCTTGCTTGTGGAACTTTAACTTACCCTTGAGGACTTGTACGTGAAGTCCCCTGGGCTCAGCTGCTGCTGCAAGGTGAGATGGACACGGAGCTGGGGGACCCCCCGATGACACTCACATTCCCAAAGCCTGTGCCATCAGCTGCCCCTAAAACCATTCATACTGCTAGACAGAACAATAATCCTGCTGCAGGAACACCAGACACACACACACACACACACACACACACACACAGTCTAGCAACCTATTCCTGGAAGTTCTCATCAAGTCTGTCCTGCACTGTGGGCCTCCTTGTAAAGTGATGTCCCCAAGTCTCCACTGCAAGGCCTCTCATGGGCAGCCCTTTCCAGCCCCAGCCTAGAGCACAGGGCCCGGACCACCCACTGACCAAAATCTGTGAATTGGGGAGCTGCCCCTGGTCACCTCAGCCTTCTCTCCCTCCCAGCCCCACACGGAGCCATCTCAGAGGTTCCCCAAGGAACTTAAAGAGAGAATTCCTCTTAGGGCTCCACACATTTTTAAAGGGCTTCAAATCCAAGCAGAGGTGGGTGGGTGACACCAACCTCCCCACCTGCCCCATTCCTGCTGCCTGGCCCTTGGAAACTCCAAACAGGCATTCCTTATGCCCCTCAGAGGCTGTTGGCCCCTGGGAGCCGGAGACAGGCTGGAGAAGGTGGAAACGAGGTGTGGTGGGCTTGGGCATACCATACAGATGGGGTGAGGGCAGACTGGGCCCATTCAGAGGCAGAATGAGTTTTGTGATTCAGATTCTCTCCTTCCTGGGAACAGGATGGTGGGACCCTCAGTCTCCTGGTCATGTCAATGACTGGTGTCTGTGTACTCAGAACAACCCTTCCCCATACCCCAAATCAACATGGGCATTTGGGAAGCCTAGATTTGGGGGTGGGGGAGGAAGAAGGTAAATTTCCCGACTCTTCCCACACTTCTTCTTCCCCACGCTTCCCACAAGGAAGAATTCTTCTACAGCCCCTCTAGCTTTCTCTGGTCGGGGTCTCGGGCTGGAGGTCTGCCCGCCCTCCTGACCGGGTCTGCTCTGCGAGCAGGTGGCAGGCCTGGCATTCAGCCACAAGCTGCTGTCACTGGAGTGACTGCAGTAATGAAAAACTGATCATTGCTGGAATAGTCCGGGCAATTGTAATAAAGCAGATTGCCACAAGCCCCAGCGGCGGCTGTCTGCCCGCAGCCCCAGGAGCACAACTAAAATGCATCGCAGAACGACAGGGAGGCAGGCTGGCAGGGATGGATCGTTTTAATTCCCTTTCCTGAAGGGGGGCGGGGCTGCCGGGGGGCGGGGGGCAGACCAGCAGGCCACCAGCGTGGTGTCTGCAGATGGCAGCTGGGTTCAGGAGCGGGACATGCCTGTGGTGTCTCCCCGCCCCCCGAAGGCCCGGCTTGCACCCACTGCCCTGTCTGGTGGCTGGAATCGTCACACCAGGCGGCAAGGGAGGATGTCACAGGCCACCAGCGTGAGCTTTTTTTTTTTTTTTTTTTTTTTTTTTTTGCTTTTTGGGTCACACCTGGTGATGCTCAGGGGTTATTCCTGGCTCTGCACTCAGGAATCACTCCTGGCGGTGCTCAGTGGACCATATGGGATGCTGGGAATTGAACTCGGGTCGGCCCTGTGCAAGGCAAATGTCCTGGCTATCATTCTGGTCCCCATGATCTGAGCCTTAACCCCACGAAGAAGGGAAGGTGCTCTGAGGTATGAGGGACACAGAGGCTGTGCCCCGTGCTGCCCCTCACATGCAGCGCGGTGCCCAGGGCGCGTTGGGGTGTTCCTGCACACTAATGGGGGCCCCTTCCCGAGTAACTCGGTGACTCTAATTGAGAACCTGTGGGCCCTGGGAAGGTTCTGCCACCCTCTAAGTAGAGTGGGCAGAGTGTGGAGCGGGCAGGGAGAGGGGATCCAGGGGGTGGCCTGTGCCTCTGGCTTCGGGGGCACCTTTTCTAACTCACAGAGCTATTCCCGGGAGTCGCAGACTGGGTGGGGAGCGCCTCCCCACCCCCACTGCCGCCCCAACCCAGCTGCTCCCTGATGTCTCGCCCTGACTTCTCAGTTGCCCTTCAGTGTCCTACTCCTCGGACCTGCCGGCCACCAGCGTCATCATCACCTTCCACAACGAGGCGCGCTCCACGCTCCTGCGCACAGTGAAGAGGTCAGCCGGCGCCTCGGCGCACACGGAGCAGTGGGGGATGTGGCCAGGCCACGAAGACCCAAAAGGGGCGGGGTCCTCGGTTTTCAGAGACAGGCTGGGTGGGGCTGCTGGGCCTGGGCCGTGGAGACCCCAGAAGTCACAGTGTTCTCCAGCTGCACCCACACTGCAGGGTGGAAGGAGGGGGCAGGGGGCAGGGCAGAGGCACGCCTGAGGCCTCAGGTGATGAAGACCCACCCCGGGGCACCTGTCCGCCACCCAGAGGTGTGCTGTCATCCTGGCCAGATTGGCCCTGTGCCTAAGCGAACCCCACTCAACCATCTCTTCAGGGAGTTTCCAGGGAACAGGCTTGGGGAAGGAGTTCTGGGGACCAGAAAGCCTTGAGGAAAAGGAGTTGGAGAGAGGAGGGCCTTCCCGGGACCCCTTATAACCCCTTAGGGTGAAGCCGTAGGTCTCACCAGCTGTCTGGGTGGTTCCATGCAACTGGAGGGGTGCCCTGGGCAGTGGTTTTTATGCCCCAGACCGTTGGAGCCACTTCAATTCCTATACCTAGGCTTCAACTGAAGCAGCACCCCCCCAATCAGGGTGACCCCAAATGCCTGAAGATCCATGGAACAGAGTTAGGGAGCCTTTGGAAGTGCCCAAGGAAACCCCTGTTCTCAGCCCCTGGTTAGAGCCAGAAGCATTTTCTAGCTGCTGGCTGTGACCCAAAAGTTTTAACTATAGCTGAAAATTGGGGGCCAATGCAGGAGAGTAGGGGGCCCTATGGCAGGGAGAGGTTGGGGGAGGTGGACCCCTCAGTTTAGACTCCTTTTATGTCTCTCCGGCTTCTCCAGTGTCCTGAACCGAACTCCAGCCAGCCTGATCCAAGAGATTATTTTAGTGGATGACTTCAGTTCAGATCGTAAGTATCCACCTTTTTTCCCCTCCCCCACAAGCCCCAAATTCCCATTTCCTTGGAATGAAGAGGCATCAGCCCTCTCATTGTCACCGCTCTGCCCCCTGAGAACCCATCTTTTCTAGATGCCTTCTCTGGCTCTGTGTTCTAGCGCTCAAGGAGAAGACAGAATAGCATTACTGGGACAAAGATGGTACAGGGATTAGGGCACTTGTCATGCAGGCGGCCAACCTTGGTTTGATCCTCAGCACCATATATGGTCCTCCTGAGCATCACTAAGTGCAGCCCTAGAGGTCTCTGAGCACCACTGGGTATGATTGAGCCTTGCTAGGGTGACCCAGGTAGTACCCAGCACTGCATCCTCCTGCCCTTGCTTTTAACTGCAGGTCTGGTTGACTGAGAAGGGCCCTCAGGGCCTCCTGAGCATGCTTGGGAGAGACCACCCTCCTACAAAACAGTGGCATTACCTGGAGGGGACACTGGTGACATGTGAAGTGACATCTTTTAATAAATGGAAACTTCAGTAGCTCTCTTGGTTACTTAGGTGCTTTAGAAGATCATGGGCATGGGGGGGCAGAGAGACAGTATATCAGGTAGGGCATTTGCCTTGCACACAGCTGACCTGGGTTCAATCCCTAGCATCCCATATAGTCCCCAAGCCCACCAGGAGTAATTCCTGAGTGCAGAACCAGAAGTAAGCCCTAAGCTCTGCCAGGTGTGGCCAACAAACAAACAAAATAACAATATGTAATAAATACATAATGGCAAGATGATAGATTTCAACCCTGTCTTATTAATAATTATGATAAATGTTAATCATCAAAACATTTTGCCGGGTATAGCCAAAAAAAAAAAAATTAGGTCATGACTTTCAATCTAACTCCACCAGGGCCAGTAACCGCTCTGGTGTTCTCTGGCACCCCTAGGGGTGATGGTTGAGGTGCAGGCATGTCTCCGTCTGACTTCAGAGCAGGGAATAGGGTCAGGACCACTATGGCTGGGAGAGATGAGCGAGCAGCTCTGGCCTCCCCAACCCCGGCCGCCTCTGGGGTCTGCTATGGAACCACTCCTGGCAATGGTATTGGGCTCTAGTGCCCCTCTCTGAATAATGCAGTGTTTGCCTCTCCCTGCCCTCAGCTGAAGACTGTCTGCTCCTCACCAGGATCTCCAAGGTCAAGTGTCTGCGCAATGACCGGCGGGAAGGTGAGTCCCTGCACCCATCTGTCCCCTGCAGCTGCCTTCGCCCTCTTGATGCCATGTCACACCTGACCGGTGTGGTCCTGTCACTTTCCTGCAGCCAGTGCCAGGCCTGAGGAAAGACCCTCAGGAGGCTCTGCTTAGTCAAATTTCAGCAGGACTGTGGGCAAGTGGCTCAACTGGCCACCTCGTCTTTCCAAGACCCAGGAATCCCAGAAGTCCCCGAGCCCCTTCCTGCCATGCTTCTTGGTGTCAGGGTTTGGTGAGATAGTCTTGGAAGGCTGCAAGAAAACCCAAAGGCAGCATCAAGTGCATGGCATCTCGCTTCCAATAAAGAAGTTTCTTTGGGCAGCCTAGGGTCGTGCCTGGCAGTGTGGAAACCACTGAAGTGGTGCAGTGGTAGGCTGTGCCCTGAAGAGCTAGGTGTGTTGCCGAGAGTCCAGACTCTCTGCAGCAGGCAACTGGCCATGGTTTTGTGGGATTTGGTGTGGAGAGCAGGGGTAGCCTTGCGAGGGTGAGGTTGGGGTGAAGCCAGGGAAAAGGAACAAAGCAGGGAACTCCGGGCTGGGGGGTGCCATGCATGCAGAGGCACAGGCCAGGCTGGGCTCACATACAATACCAGCTTTCCTTCCAGAGAGTCCAGCCTGAAGGGGCTTTCACTTGACCGCACACCCGCATTCTGACTCATAGCAATGTAGGCCCCCATTTGTGGGTTAAGAGAACGAGGGTTTAAGGAAGTTCCACAGTTTTCCTAGAGTGATATACCAGGGCTTTTGTGTACAGCATAGATGTACACTTATGTCTAAGTTCTTTATAGTGTTGCATGGAGTGCTAGGATAGGGTAGAAGGACTTTTGCTTAGCTGGGTGGACAGTCACGGCAAAATGCTGGTTGGAGAGCCCTTTCCGGAAGCAGGTGTGTTTCTGAGTTATTTGGGCATTTTTTTCTTTTTTGCTTTCTTGGGCCACACCTGCTGTGTGCTGGGCTTACTCCTGGCTCTGTGCTCAAGGACCACTCGTGGCAGTGCTCTGAGGGCCGTATGTAGCACCAGGATTGAACCAGGATTGGCCAGGCACAAGGCAAGGGCCCTACCCACTGTGCCATCCCTTCATCCCTGTGTTCCGACATCCTAGTGTGTATACCCACAGCTTCCTACTCTGTCAGAGGCTGGACCAGCCAGGCCTTCTCCCTCCTGGCCAGGCAAATCCCCCAGCACTGACCCAGGAGTAGGCCAACATGCTGCCATTCTTTGGGTGATCAACGAGCCCCAGGGAGATCCCTGAGGAATGGGGGTGATCAGGGCGAAATCTAGCATGTGTGACCTCCTAGGCGCTAGGCGTTTATTCTCCCCACAGGCCTGGGTTGTCATCTCTGTGAATCTTCTAAAGAAAAAAAACTGAGACTCAGTAAATAACATGTTCAAGGTGAGAGAAGGCCTGGCATACAAACGCAAGCTGACTCGGTCTAGAAGATTCTCTCCACGTTGCACATGAAGATGCGGCAGAAGACACCCTGAGGAGGGTGGGGTGGGAGTCTGGGCTTCTGTCTCCCCACACCACATGACATTTGCTACCATTGCTGTAAACCACTGGGGCCATTCATCGGTTTGAGCCTCCAAGCCCAGCACCCATTTATACGTGAAGGTTGCCCACAGATTGGCCATGGGTTAGTGAAGGTCAACAGAGAGGAGGAAGAAAGGGAGAATGGAAAGAAATACAGCATTGGGGCTGGAGAGAAAGTACAGTGGTTAAGGTACTTGCCTTGGGCAACCACCAACCTAAGCTCAGTTCCCCAGCACCACATAGAGTCCCCTGAGCCGGCCAGGAGTGATCCCTAAGCATGGAGCCAGGAGTAAGTGAGCCAGGGCCACCATTCAATATGGCCCCCAAGCCCAAACATGAATTCTGTGAGTAACACAGAGTACCTGAGCCTGGAACTCCATCCCACTTCCCCTTTACCTGTCTCACAGTGGCCCCACCACACACACACACACACACACACACACACTCACACACATTCACATACACACACTCACCCACATTCATACACACAAACACACACACATACTCACACTCACACACACACTCAGACACATTCATACACACAAACACACACTCACACAAACACTCACACACACACACACACACACACACACACACACACTCCATCAAGCTACTCCCTGAGCTCCATGTCAGCACCGCCTACTCAGAACCAGCCACTCACTGCTGTCCTAGCTCCTGAGAAGACAGAAACCCTGGGGCTCCTGGCAATGCCAGGAAAAAAAAAAAAACAGCGGCTCACGTGTTCCCCCTGCAGGGCTCATCCGATCCCGGGTCCGAGGGGCCGACGTGGCCACGGCTGCTGTGCTCACCTTCCTCGACAGTCACTGCGAAGTGAACACGGAGTGGCTACCGCCCATGCTGCAGCGGGTCAAAGAGGTGAGGCTGTCTTCTGGGGCGGGGGACTCCCTTGGGCAAGCGGTGCCTGCCCCCACACAGTTGGGGTGAGGACACACAGAGCCCCTGCTGAAGCCAGGAGGGTGGAGCTGCACGTCTCAGAGGTCTGATGTTCCTCACCACTTTCTCAGCCACCAACAGGAAAGTGCTGTCGACGTCCTGGGGCGGTTGGGGTGATTGAATGGGAAGAAAGCCTGGGTGAGCGTTGACACTCCCATGGTGAGGTGTAGAGCACCATGATTTCCTTCTGGGGGGTTGGTGACTTTTGGCTTCCTCATGGTGGGAATTTGGAGAATGAGGGAGGAAGGAGGTGATGGTGTTCTCAAGGAGGTAAGAGAGCAAGGACCATCTCTGGCATAGCAAGGATTTGGAGAGATGGAAGAAGAAAAGAGACAATCACAACTCAGCCATCTTTAAAAAAATTTTTAAAAAAAACCCTTCTTAGAATGGGCAAAGGATGTGGATGGGCATTTCTTCAAGGAAGCTGTGTAAACACCAGAATGCACATGCCAAAGATGCCTGGCGTTATTAAGGTATGGAGGGAAAATGCAAATCCAAACCACAGTGGTCTCCAAATGTTCTCTTCTGTTTATGTGAGACATCCAGAATGAACAAGCCCATGGGAGTAAGAAACAGGTTAATGGTTGCCAGCGCCAGGCAAAGTGGAGATGACTAACGGTTTGGGGGCTTCTTATTAGGGGTCACAAAAATCTTCTAGAAGTAGCTCGTGGTGATGCTTGTATAATCTTATAACTATACCACAGACCACTGAATTGGACACTTTGAATGATGCTTGGGGGAGGCAGGGTGTTACATCCAGTGATGCTCAGGAATTACTCCTGACAGTGCTCAGGGAACTGTATGGGATGCTGTACTATCATTCCAGCCCCTAAATGATGTATTTATGGTATGTTAATCTTATCTAATTAATTTGTTTTAGTATGAATTATATCTCAGGACTTTAAAAATAAAAAGCATCTAGGGGCCAGAACAGTAGTATGGTGGATAGGATGTTTGCCTTGTACACAGCAGCCCCATACGGTCCCTGGAGCCTGCCAGAAGTGATCTCTGAGTGCAGAGCCAGGAGTGAACCCTGCACACTGCCAGGTGTAGCCCCCAAACTAAAATAAATAAACAGTTAAAAAAGTAAATTAAGTCCTCTAGAGGCCAAGAAGGTAGTTCAAAGAGCTGGAATGCATTCCTGGCGTGTAGGGACCCTGAGTTTTGTTTCCATCGCCACTACTGATAGTCCCCCATCAGGCACCCTTGGGTGCAGCTGCCTGAGCCCCCAGCAGCACTGCAGACCTGGGCTTGAGCAAACCGTCCCACCTACACAGCCAGCTCAAGGATTGCACAAGCAACCCCTAGGTCCCCTGAGCTCTGCTTGGCTTTTAAAAAAGTCATGAGAAAGGATAAGTTGAGCCCTCCCCACCCCTACACAGACAGACAGACAGACAGACACACACACACACACACACACACACACACAGCACATGAGAAACCATGACGGTTTCCCGAATCTGCCAGGTTTTGTTGTCCTGCAGTGAGGAAGCAAAGAGGTTCTGTTTCATGTCTCCACAGAGGGAGAGAGACAGGGACTGAGAATGATAGAGGATAACTAAGTTTTGGTATATGATACAATCCACGATTACCACCAAACAAACAAACCAACAAACATTAGAGCAACATTGGCCTGACCAATGTTTGTGGGTAGATTTGGGTCTGGGAGGTGATAAAGGGACAAGAGCGTTTGACCTTAAAGTAAATGTGGCACAAAAGAAGTGACTCCCATATGATGTGGGAACTGCACAGTCCCTGCCCTCTGGGGACTCAAATCCCACACAGAGGTGACTCATCGTCAGTTCCAACCAGCAGCAGAAGCCCACTGCAGACACAGTGATCAGAACACTCCTCCCAGGAGTGGTCTGGATTGTCACTGGGAGAGCAGCTGGGAACAGGAAGAGAACAGAACACTCCAGTTTAGAGCTGCCCGCAGCCTAGCTCTGGGTGGAATTTCTTTTCCTTTATGAAAGACACTCGCCCTCTCTCTCTCATCCCTTCTTACTTCTCTCCCTATTTCTCTCCCGCTCCGTCTCTCTCCCTCTCTCCTGCTCTCTTTCTTCCTCTCTTTCCCTTTCCCCTTCTCTATCAGTTTTGTCCTCTCCTCCTTTCTCCTTCTCTTTCTTTCTCCTCCCACCTTTCCTAAATAAAACTTTTTTTTTTAAGTGAGGAGCCAGAGAGATGGTACAGGAGTAAAGCATGTACACATGACCCTGGTTTGATCTCTGAGGTCACTGCCTGCAGTGACCCAACCCCAAACCTCCCTACCCACAGGGAGGAAGAAATCCCTCAGCCTGTAGCAACAGAGGCCTTTCCTGGGGAGGAGAGCTCTTGGCAGGGCCCAGCCTGGGAGGTGAAAGCCTCGGAGAGCTCTGTGCCCAGGGAACACCAGGGAACCTGGATGTCGTGACGAGGACAGCCCCTGGGAATCTGGCATGCCCGGCAGGAGATGCTGAGTGTTTTCCTGCCTGGGAGAAACCTTCCCAGAACAGGTAGTGGACCTGCTCCCTGCACCTCCCACCCCTGACCTCACCTCATGTCTCTTGGTCTCTTGTTACTTCTCCCAGGACCACACCCGGGTGGTGAGCCCCATCATCGACGTCATCAGTCTGGATAACTTCGCTTACCTTGCTGCATCTGCTGACCTGCGGGGAGGTGGGTTTCCCTCTGCGCAGAGGGTTCTAGATCAGAAAGACTTATTGGGGCCTCTTATTCCCCGCAGTGCGAGTGGCTGTGAGGTCCCACTGACCTCCAGCACGTGAAAAAGGATTGGGTGGAGCCTGGGAGATGGGGGGAGGACTGGGGGGAGCTATGACGGCAGGCTCCTGGCAGGAGGAGAGACAGCATCAAGCGAGTCCCTTATCTTTCTCTCCCCACAAACACTGATATCTTCCCAAAGGCTGTCAGTGCAGAGATCAAAGGCAAACCCTGGCATCAGATATGACAGCTGTCTTGGAGATGCTGGAGCGGGAACTCTTCAGTTCCTGCAAGTTCCTGACAGGCACACCTGTGCATGGCTGGGCCTGTGCAGGCTAAGACTGGCTGCCAGCCACCTTGAACTGGGGAGCCCTGGAGACGCAACCAATCTAAACTGAGGTGTGTGGGCTGGAGAGATCGTACAGGCAGAAAGGTAGCACAGGCATAGGCAGAGAAACAATACAGAGAGACAGCACGTGCTTTGCATGCAGCCAACCCAGTTTGATCCCCAGCACCACAGAGGGTCCCCTTAGCACTGCCAGGAGTGACCCCTGAGCATAGAGCCAGGAGTAGCCCCTCAGCACTGCTGAATGTGGGCCCCAAAACAAAAAAAATAGAGAAGCACTACATATATCTCACCTGCACGGCAAAGCCTGGCAAGCTGCCTGTGACGTATTCGCTATGCCAAACACAGTAACAACAAGTCTCACAATGGAGACGTTACTGGGCCCACTCGAGCAAATTAATGAACAGTGGGAGGGCAGTGCTACAATGCTACAGTGCTACACATGTAAAATGCATTCTAGGGGCTGGAGCGACAGCACAGTAGGTAGTGCGTTTGCCTTACACGCGGCTAATTCGGGTTCAATTCCCAGCATCCCGTATGGTCCCCCAAGCACCGCCAGGAGTAACTCCTGAGTGCAGAGCCAGGAGTAACCCTTGTGCATCACCAGGTATGACCCAAAAATCAGAAAAAAAAGCATTCTATCTTTCAAAGACCTACCATGAAAGAGTGTTAAATTTTTTACTAATAATTTTACTAGATTATGTTGTGGGACTGGAGCAATAGCACAGTGGGTAGGGCGTTTGCCTTGCACGCGGCAGACCCAGGTTCGATTCACAGCATCCCATATGGTCCCCCGAGCACCGCCAGGAGTGATTCCTGAGTGCAAAGCCAGGAGTAACCCCTGAGCATCACCGGGTGTGACCCAGAAAGCAAAAAATAAATAAATAAAGTCTATCTTTTAATAATAATAATAATTTTACTAAGTAAAGTAAAAGTAAAGGCCCTCCCGTTGATCATCGATTTGCTCGAGCGGGCCCAGTAACGTCTCCATTGGAGACTTTGTTGTTACTGTGTCTGGCATATTGAATACGTCACGGGGAGCTTGCCAGGCTCTGCCCGAGAGTATCTCGCCCGCACGACAGAGCCTGGCAAGCTCTCTGTGACGTATTCGATATGCCAAACACAGTAACAACAAAGTCTCCAATGGAGACATTACTGGGCCCACTCAATTAATTTTACTAGATTATATTAAAATGACAGGATGTGAAACAGATTATGTTAAGATAAATATTCAAATCAATTTCATGTGCTCTCTTGGATATGGCTATTGGATTTGTTTATTTATTTACTTTTGGTTTGGGACCACACCTGGTGATACTCAGGGCTTACGCCTGGCTCTACACTCAGTAATCACTTCTGGCAGAGCTTGGGGAACTATTTGGGGTGCCGGTGATGGAACCCAGGTTGGTCTCGTGTATAGCAGGTGCCTTACTGCTGTACTATCACTCCAGCCTCTGAAAAAGTATAAATGACCCGTGTGACTTTGTGATTTGCATAGGGTTTTTTCCCCCCTCAGAGATGCACAGGGGACCATATGGTGTCAAGGATAAACCTGGATCCCTGCATAAGAAGCACATGCTCTAACCCTTTGGGCCATCTCCAGCTCTGCAGCCTGTTTCTTTGGGGTAGCTCTGGTCTGAACTTCAAGGCTGTGCTGTCCAGCATAGGAGATAATAACCATGTGTCTAGGAGCCCCAGATAGCCAGTGTCCACCCTGTTGGCCAGCAGAGGTGTGGCGCATCCCATCCTTGCTCCTGACAGAGTGTTGCTGGGAACGGGTGGGCAGAGGGCAGGGCCAATCAGTGGGCTCAGCCACAGCAGATCCAGACTCTGAGTGGGGTTCCGAGGGAAGCCAGTCAGTGCTCCTTTGAGAAATCACCACAGAGTCTTTGCATGTGCTCCCAGTGCCTGCAGTTTCTACAGTGCTCCGTGCATGAATCAGGCCTCCATGCCTGTCCTTTCTCAGAGGTCACCTCCTCAAGGAGTCTCTCTCTAGGGGTCTGGAGTGGTAGCACAGGGCATAGGGCGTTAGCCCTGCACGTGGCTGACCCGGGTTCGATTACCAGCATCCTATATGGTCCCCCGAGTACCGCCAGGAGTAATTCCTGAGTGCAAGAGCCAGGAGTAACCCCTGTGCATCACTGGGTGTGACCCAAAAAGCAAAAAAAAAAAGGGGGAGTCTCTCTTGGAAGAGCATGGATGCATCTGTTTTTGTTTTATTTGGGGGGTTACACTTCCCCCCACTCTGACAGTGTTCATTGATCGATAGCTTATCTGGGGCCTAGTAGATGGAAACTCCTCCCTGGCTCTGCGTGAAGGATTGAGGGCCCTTCCTGAGCTGGGCTGAGATCGGGGAGACTTGGGGTTGCCAGAGTGAGGACAGCACTGAGCCCTGTTCCCTTCCCCTCAGGATTTGACTGGAGCCTGCATTTCAAGTGGGAGCAGATCCCTCTGGAGCAGAAGATTGCTCGGACAGACCCCACCCAGCCTATCAGGTAAGGGCCCCTCTGGGCTCCAGGACACGCTTCCTCCCCTGGGCCAGGGGCCTCGGAGATGCCGCAGTGAGAAAGTGGAGGGGTTTGGGTGGTCCTTCTGCTCCTGCAGGCTTCAGAGGTGCATAATTCAAAATCTGCTCCTGCAGGCTTCAGAAGTGCATAAATCAAAATCTGACTCTGTGCTAGGACACAGAGACAACAGAGGCCAGAAGCTGACCAGATGCCCAGCCTCAGGGACCCTGCAAGCGGGAGTTTCTGGGGTACAGATCTGCAGCGCCAGGAGGAGCTATAGGGGCTTCCCGGCTCCTTAAACTCTTGGGTCATCTCTCTCCTTGTTCCCAGGACTCCTGTCATAGCTGGGGGCATCTTCGTGATCGACAAGTCCTGGTTTAACCACCTGGGAAAGTACGATGCCCAGATGGACATCTGGGGTGGAGAGAATTTTGGTAAGTCAGGAAACATAACACAGCATGAATGGGTGAACCTTGGCTACATTCTTTCTTCATTTCTTTGTTTGTTTGGTTTTTTTGGGGGGGAAGGAGGTTTGTGCTCAGGGCTCACTCCTAGCTCTGTGCTCAGATCACATTCCTGGCAGGCTATGGAGACTACCTGGGGTTCTGGGGATTAAACTGGGTCGGCTGTGTGCAAGGCAAGCGCCCTACCTGCTGTACTGTCTCTTGGGCTCCACATTCCCTGTTTGAAACACCCTCGAGGGAGCTGCTCACAGGTAGGAGGGTGGAGGAGTGAATTGTAGGAGCTGCCGCTGCCTCCCTACCCACTGACCTCCTTTCATGTGTTGGGGACCTCCGAGGCTCCCCCGTGTGAAGGGCCTGGCAGGGTTGGCTTTCCGTGGAGATGCAAAGCATTGGCATTAGCGAATGAAAGGCCTCTCTCTCCCGCATCCAGAGCTTTTTCTTTTTGCTTTTTCCCCTGAAGGTGGGTGGGTGATTGACGGAGAAACAAGTGCTGGATCAAATCTCTGACTTTCATCAGGGCCTGAGGCGAGAGCTCCCGGTGTGGGGGAACTAAGGCATGATTCTGAGAAGGGTGTTGTTTCTTACAAGAATTTTTGGGGGGGGAAAATTTGAAAGGAATGTCCGTGCTCACCCTGGCGTTCAGACTCTCAGCGGCTGGGAGCAGTTTGGAGCCTAGAGACTCGTGAGGCAGAGACCTGGGGCCTGATCTCTGCTGCATGAACAGAGACTCATCTCTGTGGCCCCCCGAGAGAGGCCCCTGGAGCCAGATGGCAGATGTGCAAGCTCTGGGATCCTGGGTGGGGGTGGGGGCCCTTTCGGAAGTGTTTAGGGCATGTCCCTTGGCTGCAGCAGCCCCTGGTCTTGTCCCTGTGTCACTCAGAGCAAAGCCAGGTCCTTTCTCAAAAACAGAGGAGGGGGTCAGAGCAATAGGATGGGGGGGGATATTTGCCTTACGTGAGCAGCCAACCCAGGTTTGATTTCGGCATCCCATATAATCCCCTGAGCTCCGCCAGGAGTGATCCCTGAGCATAGAGTCAGGAGCAGCCCCCGAATACCACTGATGTGGCCCCAAAACAAAACAACAACAACAACAGAATTAATTAAAAATAAATAAATAAATAACCCAGACCAACATCTCCACTCAAAGGTCCTTTCCCTCTTGCTCTGCTCACTGTGCTTGCCTGCAGGTGCAATCCTTGGCATCACATATGGCCTCCCAAACACTGCCAGGAGTGACTCCCAAGCACAGGAGTAAACCCTGAGCACCTCTGAATGTGACCTCAAAACCACACCTCCCAAAGATGCTGAATAATGTAAAAATGAGGCAGCTACCTAAACAAAGTGTGAGCAATTCAACTGCAGTCAATTCTGCAGTTGACTGTGTGACCTTGGAAAGGTGATTTCACATCTTTGGGCATCACAGTTCTTAGAAAAACATGAGGAGATCATCCTGACTCCACATGACTGCTAGGTGAATTGGAATTGGGCAGGAAGAGCACAGCGCATAGCAAGTGTTGATGAAGTGGAAGGCGGCTGCTGCTTTGTCATTGCCATTGTTGATAATAATGACAGAAATTAACGATCATAAGGACAGCAAGGGCTGAGTGGGAAGAACAGAAACACAGCATAACAAATGGGAATGGTGGAAGCGGAACTGAATCCACTTCTCCTGACCCAGTTCTGAATGTCATGGCTGAGTTTGACCAGGGGATGGGTAAAGGCCTGGCCGCCTAAGGCAAACCTAGGGAAGCCCATTGACACGGTCAACCCAATGTCAAGAGCAGGATGTGCCGAGGGTCCATCCTGGCTACTGGGCCACACCTGGAAATTGCCTGGTGCACACAGCTGGCCAGAAGGTGGGCATGAGTCCAGTCAGTGTCCCTCCCCACTTCCCCAAGGGGCTGCACCAGGGAAGAGACCCAGGACAGGTCCCACCATGAGTGACCCCACATCTAGCTTGGGAGTGAGAAGAGGGACCCAGGGTGAAGTGTATCTTCTAATAAAAAGAGTTTATAATGAAAGACCACTGAAGGTGGCCTTTTAATAAAAACCATCCTTCAAAAGAGTTTTTTTGGGCCATGCCCTGCGGTGCTCAGGGCTTTTCCTGACTCTGCACTCAGGGATCACTCCTGGCAGGACTGAGGGGACCATACAGGGAGACAGGACTGAACCCGGGTCAGCTATGTGCAGAAGGCAAACACCCTACTTGCAGTGTTCTCACTCCAGTCCCAAGCCACCCATATTTTAATTTATTTAAAAAAAATTTTTTTCACCTATATTTTTAAAACAAAAACAAATAAATCCCTTGGTTTTTTTTTCTTCTGGGACAGAAAGGAGGCATTCTAATATCGGAGGGCATCTCATCACAGGGTTAAATGAAAGAAAGTGAGAAATCTGAAGAGACTTGTGATATTCTGCCAGCTCCCTAAGAAATGACGGTCGGTGAACAGAGGACAGAACCCAGGACAGGAAGGACAGCCTGAGATGTCCCTCCCGGGAAGCCAGGGGCCATTTGCATGTCCCAGCACCCCTGAGGGCCGACAGGCACTGGCCCAAGCTGGTTCTGCCCCACCAGCAAAAGGAAGTGGCTCTCCATGGGGTCAGGGGTCTGCTGGGGACAGAGACCCCCCACAGCAGAGGGAGCTCTGGGGCCAGGAGAGAGCAGGTCAGAGCCACTGCGCTCTCTAGCTCCCGTGTGCAGGCCTTTTTAGCAGGACACGGGACACGGCACTGCCATTTGACTCCTCTTCCTTCATCTTTGGTCTGGGTGTGTCTTGAGTGCTCCCACAGGTCGGGAACACGTGGCATGTGTGTGATGTTAGTATGTGTGTGCGTGTGTGTGTGCGTGTGTGTGTGGTGTGTATGGAGCAATATGTGTGGAGTGTGTGGGTGTGTGGTAGCTATGGGATATATATAGAATGTGTGTGTGAGGGTATGTGTGATCTGCAGATGTGTGAGGGGGTGTGTGTGGTAACTATGAAATTAGTGTAGAGAGTGTGTGTGGAGGGTATGTGGGGGGTGTGATGTGTGTGTGTGGGTGTATGTAGAGGGTGTGTATGTGGAGGGGATGTGGAAGGGAGGGTGTGCGGAGGGTGTATGGAAGATGTGTGTGATGTGTGTGATGTGTGTGGAGGAGGGTGTGTGGAGGGTGTGTGATGTGTGTGGAGGGTGTGGTGTGTATGTGTATGGAGGGTATGTGTGTGATGTGGGTGAAGGATATGTGTATAGAGGGTTGTGTGATGTGTGTGGAGGGTGTGTGAGGTGTGTGTGTAATGTGTGTGGAGGGTGTGGAATGTGTGTGGAGGGTGTGTGTGTGATGTATGTGGAGGGTGTGTGATGTGGGTGGAGGGTATGTGTATAGAGGGTTGTGTGATGTGTGTGGAGGATGCGTGCACATGTATGGAGGGTGGGTGTGTGTGTGATGTGCGTGGAGAGTGTGTATGAGGGAGGGTATGTGATGTGTGTGCAGGTGGATATCATACACATAGTTTGAGTACTCAGGAGCAGGCATGGGAATGGGGTCCCCCTCTTTATGCTGGCCTGCTGCCCCTGATGCTGCCTTGTCTCCCCAGAGCTCTCCTTCAGGGTGTGGATGTGTGGTGGGAGCCTGGAGATCCTGCCCTGCAGCCGGGTAGGCCACGTCTTCAGGAAGCGGCACCCCTACAACTTCCCTGAGGGCAACGCCCTCACCTACATCCGGTAGGTCACAGTGCAGGGAGCCTTCCCCAGTGGCTCCTTCCCGGGTCTCACGCCTCCGTCAGCTGTTTCCAGGCGTGGGAGGAGGATGTGGGGGTGTTGTCCGCAGGTCTCTCTTGCCTGGACTCTGCGTCCTTGAAACTGAAAGATGGTTCTCATGACCTGGAGCAGCCCGTCCCACCCTGGGCCCTGCATCCCGGTCATGGATGCTGTGTCCTGAGTTGATTGGTCCACAGCTGCCCACTTTTGCTCCAAGCCACTGGCCCAACAGGCAGGAGCAAGGTCCTAGGAGCCCGCTCCATGTCCTGCTATCCTTGGGGGGCAGGGGAGTGAGGATGTGGAGAGTGTCTTGACCTGGGCAGGCCCACGCGCCCTTGTTTGGAGGATGCTCATCTTCAAACATCTAGCTTATACCCGGAGTAGCCTGCTCGCTGTGCACTTGTACTTGTGTCTGTGCAGAGATGCAGGGCACCATGCCTTGGGTTTTCACTGCAGCATGCTTTGCTGCCAGTTGCCATTAAATCACAGGCACCCTATGGGGTGGGGGGGGGCAACTACGGCATATCCTTCCTGGCTGTGTAGTACCACATGGTGTGGAACACAGTTCATTATCCGCCAACTGGATGGTGTTTAGGTTGGCACACAGATTTTACTAAAGAGATAGCCTCCTATCTGTTCTTTTTATCCATACGGGAGTAGGGTGGTCTTTTTAAAGTTTCCGTACCAGGGATTGAACCTAGGTTCTCCACATGCCTGGCATGTGCTCTAGTGTTGAACCACCCCCCTACCTCGAATTTTTTTAGTATAATAGTCTCCTCTCAGTAGGGTGTCCGAGGAACACCTGCAGCTGTGGGCCTGCTGGGGGTGTCAGGGTGCTCTCCAGTGAGATGGGTGTGCACCTCACTCAGTTGTGAGCAGAACAGCATCTGAACCCTGGGTGGCCCTGATTGGCTCCTTCCTCTCCTCGTAGGAACACCAAGCGCACTGCCGAGGTGTGGATGGATGAATACAAGCAGTATTACTACGAGGCCCGGCCGTCAGCCATTGGGAAGGCCTTTGGCAGGTGGGTCCTTCCGGGAGTGAGACCGCCCCTGTGGTCCCGGTAGTGGGACCTCAGCCCAGTGCAAGATGGCCTGGACCCCAGGGGAGTGCTCGGTCCACTTAGAACCAAGCCTCACCCCGCAGGGCAGTGGGCAATCTGGAGTCAAGACCAGGTCCTCGCGGGGCAGGGAGGCCCAAAGGAGCCCGAGACCTGGGATGTTCTTGCAGGGAACAGACTCACCAGCTGCCTGCAGGAGAGGAACGCGTGTGGGCTGGCAGAGGGACAGGCTGTCTGCAGTAAACCCCTGGGGTTTGCCTCCACCCACGGGCCTTCAAAATCTCCCTGTGATCTGTGAGCTGCTCTCCCCATCCCAGACTGTCATAACTCCAGTCTGCCTGAGCATTTTTAAAATGCAGATAGGTGGTGGAATCCATGTAGTGAGTCGTGATTAGCATTGAACGAGAGAGGGAACCAACTAGAATGCATTAGTATACCGACGGGAATAGGGACTGACGGTTGTTGGCCTTGGAGGGCAAGGATTGCTGGGACGGATTTCAGTTTCACGTGTCTCTGCCCCCATACGTGCTCACGCAACCCTGAGCATGATGGAAGCTGTGTTGGTTTCTTAAGGTCATAGTCAGAAAAGTTTTGTGAAAATAGTACTAGTGAGCATTCCTCTGTTTATACCCTCCCTCTGTTTACTTGTATTTGTCATTTTTCAAAGTTTTAAAGACGGAAAAATACAAAAAGAGTTATGGGCCAAGAAGATGGTTCAAAGGGCCGGAGTGCATGATTTGTCCAATGAATGCCCAGGATGGTCTCTGTCACCATGTGGTCCTCCAAGTACCACAAGGACTAACCCCCAAGCATTTCCCAGAATGGGCTGAAAACCATATATTTTAAAAAAATCTTTTAAATAATCTTTTGGGGCTGGAGTGATAGTACAGTGGGTAGGGCATTTGCCTTGCATGTGGCTGACCCAGGTTCCATCCCCGGCATCTCATCTGGTCCCCTAAGAACCACCAGGAGTAACCCCTAAGTATTGCCAGGTGTGACTCAAAAAGCAAAAAAAAATCATCTTTTAAAAGAGTGATAGCCCTGTTTCAGTGGGAAACAAGTATGTACTGAGGACCCCCTCCATGCTTGTCCCCTTAATTCTTCATTTGATTCTCACAAAAGCCTTCTGAAGTGGGTGGTCACATTCCCCACTTACTGGACAAGATGCAAGAGATGGCTCTGAGACCCACGGTCAGTCGGCCATGAGCAGCCTTGTGGGGGTGAGGGGTGCAGTGTAGGGGCTGAGGAGATCAAATTGCGGGTCCCACATTCATGGCAGCCTCTTCTTGCCAGAATTTCCCAAGGAGGTTTATTTTTGTTTTTATTTTCACTCGGGGACTACTATTCCCAGCTCTGCTTGCGGGGGTCACTCCTGGTGGTCCTCAGGAGACCATGTAGTGCTGGGAATTGGACCCAGGCTTCCTGAATGCTCAGCCCACTGAGTCATCTTCGGCCCCTGAAGGAGGTCTGGTGCTCGATCCTCCTGCTGTTCGCTCTTTGTCCTAAATGACCAGTGCGGGAACCAGAGGCTCCCCGTGGAAGTCAGGATGAAGGAGTGGGAGGCTAACTGAGGTCCAGAGAGTGAGAAGCCCATAACACAGCCTGGCCTCTGGGGTACACTGCCCCAGAGAGCTGACCTCAACTTGGAACAGGAAGCTGAGGAGAGGAATGAGGAATGTTCCGAAGAGCTGGGGGGGGGGGGGGCAGGCCATTGGAAGGTCAGAGAGAGTGTTATCGAGACTAACAGGAAAGGGGGCCCAGCCTTCGGGCCTGGGAAAGGGGGTGCCCTCATCCTCGTCCCTGCACCCCAGCTTGAGCTGTCTTACTCCTTCAGCGTGGCCACACGGATCGAGCAGCGGAAGAAGTTGAACTGCAAATCCTTCCGCTGGTACCTAGAGAACGTCTACCCAGAGCTCACGTGAGTTGTCTATGAGGTCGTGTGGGGGGTGGGGAAGCAGTTGCTTGGGGGAGCCCCCCCCAATCCTGAGAGCTCCCCGGGGTACAAGCAGTCTAGTATGGCTTTCTCTCACAGTCAGGGGCTTGGTGTGAAGGCTCTGAGAACAGGGTCGTGACCAGGAGTTGAAAGGAAGGAGATGTGACGAGAATCAAATTTTGTTTCTTGGTTTGGGGGCTACCCACAGCTGCGTCTTGGGGCTGTCCCCGTTCCAGAGTTGGGGACCAGCAGTGCTTGGGAGACCGTGTAATTTCCCGGGATCGAACCCCAGCCTCCTGCGTGCAAAGCACACACCCGCCCGCTTGTACTCTCCCAGGCGGGAACTAGGTTTTAGCTGCCTTGGCCTTGGAGCTAGACGTGGATGGAGTTCTCCGAGGGAAACAGAGCTGCATTGTATGGCCACGGCCAAACACATACGCATCCCTTGGGCCTTGTTCTCTCCCTTGTGGGTATCCGCCTGAAGGAAATAAGAGACCCAAGCCAAAAACAGCTTGACAGCTGGATGCTCAGGAAAGGTCCTCCTGCAGGGCTGTGAAGCCAAACCCAACCCAGCCACCAAGCAAACACCTGACAGCAGGGCCTGGGCGCAGCAGCTCTCATTATGTCCAGTGCTGAGCAAATATTATGAATCCATTAATATTTTAAGCATAAGGCCTGTGAAAGAATATGGGAAATGTTTGCTGTTGCAAACGAGGAGGCAAATACAAGTGGCACCATGCCCCGTGGTGCAGCAGCAGAGAAGCTGTGTGTGTTAAGAGTGCTACAAAAAATAAGTTTTAATGGCTGCACGGAGCAGCTCCCTTTCCCCGGTTTCAAAAGGCTTTGCAGGGGCCGGAGAGTTGTTTCAATGGGCTGGAGTGCGTGTTTTGCTGGTGAGAAGCCCAGGTTGAACCCTGGCATGGCATGGTCCCCTCACCAGGCACTGCCAAGAGTGATTCCTCCCACCCCTCCCATCCCCCCCCACACACACCCTTTTTATGTCTTAGCTTCAACCACACTTCTTTTCCTCCTTGGGGATGCAAAAACTCCTTCTTCCCAGGAAGCCTGCGCAGGACTCTGCATTGGCAGCGGCTCCCCCGGGTCCCCTGCCTCCTTCCTCCATCCACCTCCTCATCCATCACCCCGCACAGCGGTTTTCCCCCACAGACAGGAGGCTGAAACCACTAAAGCAGCATCAAAGTGGCCAGCTCAGTCGGTTGTTGTCTCCATGCTCAGAGGGGTTACCTGTCTTCATTCGTCGCTTTATCCCCAACACCCGTGGGCAGGCAATAAACATTTCTGACCAAATAAACTCCGTCGTCAATAGGCCTCAGTAGTCACTTCAGAATCTGCTTTCCCCTTCTGTAGCTGCCCGTCCTGGGTGGTGGGGGAGGAATAGGCCATCTCCCGCTGCCTGCTTTCTCCGAGGCTGGTGCTTGGCCTCCAGAACGTCCGCTCCACCCCTCGGAGCCTGCTTGTCCTCGAAGGAAGCGGATCTTTGTCCTTTGAGGACAGATTTCAGTTTTGGAGAACCGCCATGGTTAGGCTCCAGCCAAGACCAGTGAACAAGCTGGCTGATTAACCCAGATAATATAATCCTGGCTCCAAACACGGCGTGACAAGATGAAAACAAGAATAAAGGGACTCTGGGAGCAATTGCCAAGGGACTTAAACAGTGACATCACGGCAGCATCCTTAGGAGAGCGTGAGCTGCCTGATCTGACAGCTGTGAAGGGAAGAACTTTCAAAGAAACAGTCTTCTAAAATGATTGCTTTTAATGGGGCACTGTAGCACTGTAGCATTGTCCTCCCGTTGTTCATTGATTTGCTCGCGCGGGCACCAGTAACGTCTCCATTGTGAGACTTGTTGTTACTGTTTTTGGCATATCGAATACGCCTCGGGGAGCTTGCCAGGCTCTGCCATGCAGGTGGGATACTCGGTAGCATGATGGGCTCTCTAAGAGGGACGGAGGAATCGAACCTGGGTTGTCCACATGTAAGGCAAATGCCCTACCTTAAATGTGACTTTTTTGAGGGGGAAAGAGGGTACTTGGGACTTTGTCCTAGCCCAGGGCTTAAGGGTCACTCCCTGCAGTGCTCAGGAGAACCTGTGGTGCTAGGCCTTAAACCCAGGGCTCTGGCAAGCCAAGTATTGCTTTCAGCCTTCACGCCATCTCCCTGAAACATTACAGATGATTGCTTCTCAGGAGAAAGCCATCGTTGTACATTCTACCATGGCTCAAACACGTTTCCAAAGGAGTCAGAGACTGTAGGTTTCCAGCAGGAGTGGGGAGGCCTGGCAAGATGCCATCTGTGCCACTGCCCAGTCCCCACACAGTGTCCCAAGAGGCAGGAGAAATCGGTCCTCCTCAGGGCCCACTACAAGACGGGGGGGTGACGGGACCAGCTGTGTGAAATGAGGAGCATAGGTCGTTTTCTCTTCCTTTTTCTCAGGGTGAGGAAGTTCAAAGAAATGGTATCTTATTGTTAAAGTAGGACATGCAGATCTCATCCCCACCCAAATTCCTCTTTCAGCCGCTCCTCCTCCAAGTTCTGCCTCAGTTTCCAGGGTAAAAGGAAGAGGAATAATCCAAGGCTTGGGGCAGGAAGGAGATCTTTCTTTTTCTTTCTTTCTTTCTTTCTTTCTTTCTTTCTTTCTTTCTGGCTTTTTGGGTCACATTGGCAATGCTCAGGGGTTACACCTGGCTCTGCACTCAGGAATCACTCCTAGTGATACTCAGGAGACCATTTGGGATGCCAGGGCTCGAACCTGGGTCAGCCATGTGCAAGGCAAAACACCCTACCCGCTGTACTATTGCTCCAGCCCCAGAAAGGAGATCTTTAGGCTCAAATGACACCTGTTTTCCTCCAAACAGGGGCCACTGTTACTTGGGCCACACATACAGATAGTCTGTGGCAGGGAAAGTGAGGAGGCTAAGGGAAAAAGTCCTTCACTTTCCTTGGCCCGTCAGCAGTCCTGCCATGATTCTGCACCTTATCTAGATCAAAGTTCCGCGGCCGACCCCAGCCATTGCCAACACGTGCCTATGTTTCAGGATGGGCAGGAACAGCTGTGCAGGTTGAGCACTGCACGAGCCCACCACATGTCTGAGAGTGCTAGATAGTGAGTGCTTCTGACCATGATACCTGGCAGATGGAAGTAAACAGCTTCTCATGATTTAAAAAAAACAAAAACAAAAACAAAAAAACAGTATGTTGTCATGAGGGACAGAGAGAAAACCAACAGAGGGAGGGTACCCAGTGCATTTGTGAACAGAGGCTCAGTACTGGCGGCCCAGGTTGGAGGAGACCCAGGGAGGAGGAAGCAGATGCAGATGCAAGGGGCCTGTGGGCACACAGGACACGTGAGCTGGGCACTGCTCGGGAGGCTGAGAAGGGTGGCCACGACCTCCCCGCCACTCAGCTGCAGTGTAGCTACCACACAAACCACCCCTCGCCCCTCCCACCCGCCCCCAGGCCCACAGCTGCTCTTGAGGTTGCTGCCCGAGCCTCCTCCTCTGCCAGCATCTGCCTGCTTGTAGTGCAGGTGCCATGGGCTCACGCAGGCCAGCCGCTCCCACCCACCGAGGCGCCTCCTGGAAGCTGAGCACCTTGATATCTCCCTAGACAACAGAGGGGAGGAAGAGAAAGAGAGTGGGAGTGTCTGGAACAGCTCTTGGGCCATGTTCTCGAGAGGCCCCAGCTGGCATCTCGTCTTCATCTGTATGGGTGGCAGCGCAGCACAGCGTCCTTGGTGGGGATGAATGAAGCCGAGTGGGTGGAGCCGTTCCCTCCCGACGCCCTTGCACCCAGCCAGGGTTGCACACTTGAGTCCCGCAGCGAGGGGTTGGGGGAGGCCAATCAATCAAGCCGGTGGAGGAACAGAGGCGAGCCAGGCTGATGGGGTTACAGACTCCCAGGATCTTGCAGCCCTCCAGCCAGACCCTCAGATCTTGCTTTTTTTTTTTTCCTGTCCTTTCAAGACAAGCTGGATTCAGACGTCTTTTGTGTTGCCTTGCTAATTTCATCTATTCAAATATTGACTCATTCAAAGCCCTAACAGCCTCCAGCCGCAGATCAGACAGAAGTTATCCAGTCAACCCTCCCCTCACCCCCGGCCGGGAGGCGGGGGGAGGGCACAAGTTTGCGCCCTCTACTCTAGAACTGAATGACCTCTCAGGGATGGGGAGGGATGAGGACAGTCCAGAGGGGCTTGCGTTGCTGCCAGGGGCAGGGGAGAGAAAGTGAGAGGATCTGCTGAAGACTTCAAGACAGCAGGTGGGTTGTCTGTGGCCTGGGGCGTCCAGAGGAGGAAGGGAACTGAGGAAGGAAGCCTGGTTTGGTGACAGCATTGTCCACTCTGAAGGGGCAGAGACATTACGCTGCTTCCCCCCTGCCTCCTGCACCCCTGCACCCCGTTCTCTTTCTTGCAGAGGTAACAGGAAGCAAATAAGATTATATACAGGATGCCAGAGAGATCACTCAGGGGTCAAGGCACAGGCTGTGTGTGCAGCTGATCCCAATTGAATACCCAGCCCTGATCAGCCAAGAATTGCCATGCCAGCAGGGGCCCCAGGCCTCCTGAGTTCTGCGGGGAACACACACACACACACATGCACACACGCACACACGCAGGCACGCACACACACACACCCGATTAGGTACAGGATCAGCCTCTAAATCCTCTTGCTTGACGCCTGTGTGTTGGGGGTCATTAGTCCCCTAGATCTGAACCATGTGTCTGTGTCTCCATGTGTGCTTGAGCATGTTTCCCTGTGCATATGGCTTCAGAAACTCAATATTTTGAAAGATGCCTGCTCCGCCTCACAGTTTGTTGTGAGTGCTTCCCCACAGCACCACATATTCTTCCGGAGTTGTGTTTCATGACTAACGGGTTTCCCATCCTACAGATGAGTCAGGCTGTGTTGGGTCCGCTCTCTATATTTTAGATATTAGGGAGCTCCCGTGTGTCCGTCTAAGGGACCGCTCTGAGCGGATTATCTTTTCAACCAAATCTCTTCTTTCAGCTGTCCTTGCTAAGTAGTCAAGTTTCCCTGAGGTGGATTGTTTGGGCAAAGGGGTTCATATTCTTGGGTCTTCGTTCTACTGCCCTCTGAAAAAAAGTTGGGCCAGTTTACGATGAGACGATAGAACCCCACAACCATTGCCAAGTGGATATTGTCATTTAAAATATAAAGCACACACATTTAGGAGCCGAAGAGATAGTACAGCAGGTAGGGTGTTTGCCCTGCACGCGGCTGACCTGGGTTCAATCCCCGGCACCCCACATGGTCCTCCAAACCCCGCCAGGAGGGAGTGATTACTGAGCATAGCCAGGTGTGGCCCCCAAACCAAAAATAAACAAAATGCAGGTATTTATCTGGTGAGCAAACAGTGGTGAGGCTGGGATATGTTTCTCTCATCTCTTAGTGAGCTGATGCAGTTTCAGATTTGTCTGTTTCCAGTCAGCTTCTCCAGAGGGGTCCCACATCAGCTTCCCCCCCCCCCCCCCCCAGGACTCTCTTGTTCATGATCTGGGCCCTCCTTTCTGACTGAGTTCACATTGCAGTGGCCCCCAAGTCAGGGACAATTCCTGGGGCTCCTGAATCAGTGCCTATCCCTGGAGATTTGGCGCCCCCAGGGTGCTGCCTAGGGCAGAGGGTGCAGGTATCCCCCAGCCCCACCCCCCGGGCAGAGGCAAGCCTGACTGATGCTGTCCCTCCTCTCAGCATCCCGGTTAAGGAAGTGCTCCCCGGCATCATCAAGCAGGGTGTGAATTGCTTAGAATCCCAGGGCCAGGACAACTTCCTGCTCGGAATGGGACCCTGCAGAGGGAGTGCCAAGAACCCCCCAGCATCCCAGGTAAGTGACCGGGGACCTCAGGGTCCGCCTGGGCATGGGGGAGGAAAGAGGACGGGGGTGGTGGCAGGCTTACTCTGCACAGTCTCCCCCTCTCTGTGTCCGCACCCCCACAACCAGCCACCTTCCCAGGGACCCTGCACATGACCCGTCACATGTCATGGCTCCTATCAACTCCTGCCACCTTCCATCCCCGTCCCAGCCTGTCACGCCAGGCCCCGATTGCATCCACCCCTACTGTCTCTTGGCAGCTCATGAGACAGGCTTCCAACTATGGAGCAATATTCCTGGCCCTTGTGTCTACTGGTCTTGTCAGTCTCATGTTATTTTATGTTCCACACATGAGTGCAGTCATTCTTCGTCTGGCCCTCTCTTTCTGATTCATTTTACTTAGCATGATACTCTCCATGACCATCCACTAATAAGGAAATTTCATAACTTCATCTTTCCTAACAGCTGCATTCCATTGTGTAGATGGACCATAGTTTTTTTAACCAATCGTCTGTTCTCCATCAACCTTTCATCATGAGAAATTTCAGAGAAAGTCAACATCCAGTGAAATCCCACACCGACCCCACCACCTTGCCTTCTCTCTCTCTCTCTCTTTTTTTTTTTTTTTTTTTTTTGCTTTTTGGGTCACACCCGGCGATGCTCAGGGGTTACTCCTGGCTCTGCACTCAGGAATTACTCCTGGCGGTGCTCAGGGGACCATATGGGATTCTGGGATTAGAACTCAGGTTGGCCGTGTGCAAGGCAAACTCCCTATCCACTGTGTATCACTCTAGCCCACCTTTATAGAAACTTCTGCCCCACCAGCAGCCTCCTTGGGTGTGGCAGTGCCCCCTCTCCTGGTTCACACCCTGAGCCTTCTCACGTGGCCCTCCTGGCCCCTGTCGTGCAGGCCTGGCTGTTCAGTGAGCATCTCATCCAGCAGCAGGGCAAGTGCCTCACGGCCGCCTCCAGCTCCGACCCCCAGGACGCCCCGGTCACGCTGCAGACGTGCAACCCGCGGGAAGGCAAGCAGGTGAGCACCGTGGGGAGGGGAGGGGGCCTGCGCCAAGACTCAGGTGAGTTACCACCCGCAGGCCCGGGAGCTCCATGAGGGCAAGCACTGCCGGTGTCCACACTCTCAGGGGCACAGTCATGGCACACTGTCCAAGAGCCCATGGGCAGAGTCTTAGGAGCTGAGCTCAGGCCAGGCCATCCTCCCGGCCACTGGGAAGGAGAGCCGAGAACTGGGTCTGCTTTAGAGGTCGGGAAACTGAGCCGGCATAGCAACTCATGTGTGGGTTGTGTCCAGGCTTTGCGTGTGGAAGCTCCAGGTTCCACCCCCAGCACCACCAGAACCTCCAGCCACTGCCAGGGGGGCCCCTGAGCACTGAGCTAGGTGTAGCTCCTGAACACCACTGGGCCTGGCCCCCCAAACAAGCAAACAAACAAACTACCATGTCAGATCCCACAGCTGGGAAGGGCTTGGAGCTGGGATCCAAACTCAGGTTTGTGCAATTCCTAAGTTCACAGGGTTAACCCAGAAAGTCGTAGATGTGTGGTGAGTCTTTCTGTGTCTTTCAATTTGGGGGCGGGCGGGAACTAGGCTGCCAGGCCTCTGCTTAGGGGCTGCTCATGCCTGTTTGCTCAGGGCTCACTCCTGGTGGTGCTGGGGATTGAACCAGGGCCAGTGGCATGCAAGGCAAATGTCTTCCTCGCTGTACTATTGCTCCAGCCCCCCCTTATGGAAAATGTTTGTCCTCCTTAGCTGTGTGCAGCCTGGCAGTATAGCCCCGAAGCTTTCAGTGGCAGTGCTGGGGGTTCCCAGCGCCAGAGACGGAACTCAGGGTCTCCTGCATCCCTGCATATGCTCAGCCTTTTGGGGTCTCCCCCGGGTCGAAGTATTTCCTGACTTCTGGCTGACAGGGGAAACTGAGGTCAGAATATGTTCGCAGCTGGCATGTAGCCCCATCTGAGATTATCTGTTTCCTGTTTCTACACATAAATACACACAAACAAACACACACACACACACACACACCCTGCCACTCTGCCTCTGTACATCCCAGGACATGGGTAGGCCACTGGGTTGGCAGTGACATGAGCTCAGAGATGTCCCGCTGACCAGGACAGCCAGCCCAGCCCATACTGTGCAGGCATCACTCTGTCCCTTGCTTGGCCCACCCTTCTGGGGGCAGTGCCAGGGATGAGGAGGGCGCCAGGCTCTCCAGGTCGGCCTGCAGGTGTTCCTTTCTCCCCTTCTCCTGTTCTTCCTCATCAGCTCTATCCTTTGGGGTCATTGGCAGTTTACAGTTTCATTCTGGGCCTCTGCCTTGGCGTGTGTGTGTGTGTGTGTGTGTGTGTGTGTGTGTGTGTGTGTGTGTGTGTGTAGGAATGTATCTGAGAGGTTGGGGTAACAAACACTCCCTGCTGGGCCTGCCCTCTCTAACTGAGCAGTGAAGCTCATTCTGCCTGCCCTCTGACCCCAGCCTACTGAGGGGGTCAGAATCCCCTCAGCCACTTTCCTTCTGTTCCTACAAGTCCTGCCAGCACCCCCAGAAGCACACACTGGGTGGTGGTGCCTCTATTCTCCCAGGAGGGCAGGGTAAGCTGTCTTCCTGCTGCCGGAGACTTTCTGCCTTGGTCCCCACTCTGGCCCCATTCCCAAAGTTGGTGGTGTCAGGAACCCCAGAGATTTCCTTGCCCGGGGCCCTGGGATGATGAAGTTAGTGTGTCACCCCTTCCCACTCCTGCAGCTTCACTCTTATAAAAATGGAGGGTTGGCCCAGAGCAATAGTATGGTAGGCAGGGGGCTTGCCTTGCTCACAGCAAACCGGATTCTATCCCTGGCACCTCATATGGTCCCCCAACTCCTCCCAGGAGTGATCCCTGAGCCCAGAGCCAGGAATCAGCCCTGAGCACTGCCAGGTATACATAGCCCACAAAATAAATAAATAAATAAATAAATAACAAACAAATCAAATACAGTGGCGGCTGAATTTCCAGTCTGCCTTCTGTGGAAGCTGCATGTGCTGAGATTGCTGCCAGGGAGGTGCTGGGGGCAGCTGTTTCTCTGAGCAGTACAGGCTCCAGTAGCTGCAGAGGGTGTGTGAGTCCTGCACAGGGCCAGCCCCTCTTCCCGCTTCACGATGGGGTCCTTAGTTCATTCTTCCACTCATTCGTTCTTCATCAAAGGGGCCCAGTATAGCAGGTAGTGCGCTGGCCTTGCAGGTAAGCGACCTGAGTTTGATTCCCCGCACCCCCGTATAGTCCCCCGAACCCCACCAAGAGTGATTCCTGAACACAGAGCCAGGACAGCCCCTGTATACCAAGAGGGCATGGCCCTAAGCCCAGACCACCAAGATAAAACTGCATGGGGTATGTATGTGTGTATGTGTGAAGGAGGTAGGGTCTCACTGGTGCCAGGGACTATGCAGACCTTGTTGGTTGCCGGATAAAGAAAGGACACATGCCCTGTGTACCCATGCCACATACACCCTAGTGGGTTGGGGGTGAGGGAGAAGCAGGAAGGTGCCCGATGCTTATCATGCAAAGGGCCAGGAGCTGGGGCCACACTGGGCACAGGTGTAGCCCAAGGGAGGCCCTGTGACCCTCTCCTAGATCCCCTTGGGGACAACTGTCCCCTCTGCTGCCCCCAGCGAGGCTTGGCCAGCTTTGGGCGGATGGCAGGTCCATACCAGGAGCTTCTAAGAGCAGCACCGGGCACCAGGTGCTCTGAGCTCTACCCCTGAACTTCAGGTCAGGCCGCCACCCGGTGCTGGAGCCGGAGAGGCTGGTTCTAAGCCCCACGCCACACAGCTCTGCACTGCTCAGGAGTATCCAGATGCCACTTCCAACCTTCACTCCGTGTCACATCCCAAATTGGCTCGTCTGCTGCCCACCTGCCTGCACCCAGATGCTCCCTTCCTTGGGCTGCTGCAGCAGAACCTGGTCCTGCCCCCATCCGAGCCTCCAGGCTCCAGCCAGCAGGGCAGCAGGAAGATCAGGGGGATGGAGAGCAAGAGGAGATGGGTGCCCAGGAGAGAGAGCCCAGCGAGGACGGCGCTCGCTCTTTATTCTTCTCCCAGCCTCCATCTCTGGGTCCCGACCTCTTGTTCCCTTCTAAACTCCCAGCCCCACTCCCTCCTCCTTCCTGCGTGCACAGTTCTCCTCCCTGTTGCCAGCACCACTGGGGAAGAGAAGTGCTCAGGGACCTCCCAGGGGCATTACTGGCCACGCTCATGGGGGGTGGGGGGCACGAGGAGTTGAACTGGGATTCCGGCATGTGCCTGCACCCCTAGAGCGGGTGCTCGATCTTTGGCCCTCGGCCACATTTAGGCATATGCTGGGCAGGCAGACAAGAGGTGTTTCTGGGTCACAGATTCATCCTGCGGGCCTCTGAGCGGGACAGCAACTTCCTGCCTAGCTGGACAAGGAGCGAGAGTGTGGGCTGGGGCGTCTGGTGGATGGACCACGGGGCAGCATGTCAGGAACGGGCAGGGCTGTTGTCGTCCTGTCATCCTGTGCCATAAAGAAATGCCCATTTTTCTTTTCTTTCTTTCTTTTTTTTTTTTTTAAAGCAGGGCATACAGGCAGTGCTTAGTGGAGGAGGGGCTGCCCCCAAGCGATTATCGGGGATCAGTCCTGGCAGTGCCAGTGCCCGGAATTGAGCAAAGTGTGCACTCAGCTCCCTGAGCCTGCTGGCCCCATGTGCCCTAACCAGCTCCCCCCTCCCCATTTCCACCCTCTCCCCTGCAGAGATGGCGGCGGAAAGGTTCCTCCATCCAGCATTCCGTCAGCGGCCTCTGCCTGGAGGTGAAGTCCGACCAGCTAGTGACCAGCAAGTGCCAGGCCGACGCCCCTGGGCAGCAGTGGCAGCTGTTGCCCCACACCTGACGGCAGCCCCCGGGGCCTCCTGTACCTTTTGCATGAGACTTGGGGACCGGAAGGGGTTAGGGTGGGGGAGTGTAAAGCGGGCCCTTTCCATCTCCTGCCATTTCTGCCGGGATCATCAGCCAACAACAACCCCCGCCATGATGTGATTGTCCAAAGTCTGCACGGGGAGGGGCGTTCCCCCACCCCAGGCCCAGCCGGTCAGACGCTGAATAGCCGCGAGGCAGAGACTGAGCCTTCGCCCCTTCCTGGGGCCCTCCCTGGGGGTGGGGGGTGGGGGCGGGGCAGGAGGAGGGGGGCCAGCCTGCAGGGCGAGGTGTGGGGGGGCAAGAAGGAGGCGAGGGGCTCAGGCCACTCCCTGGCAGGTGCTGGATGGGGCGCAGGAAGGATGGAATCGAGGACAAAGCACAGGATGTGAAGGGGAGAGCGGCCAGGCCGCCAAAGCACGGAGCTGTCTTGGGGAACTTGTTCCTCGCCCACCCAGCTCCGCCCTGCAGGCTCTGTCCTGCGCTCTGCTCCCCAGTTTGTGAGCCCGAGGCTGCCTCAGGACACGGCTTATGAAGCCCCTCTGTTGGGCCACGTGTCTGGCCAAGACCTCTCCCTTGGACCTCAGCGATCAGCTAGTGCCCAGCCCCCACTGGGCAGCTCCATCCTTCTCCGAAGTTTCCACTCCTGCTACTCAAAGCCTCTGTACAAACTGCATCCTTCAGGCCCTGAGAACCTGAAGCCCCAAACCTCCCCATGTCATGGAGGGCCACATCCTCCCGCCCAGGCCTTACCCACCCTGCACCCCCCCCCCCACCTGCCCTCTGGAGGAGGCGCCTGAGTCCCCCAGGGCCGGAAGCTGCCCAGGGGCCCCTGTCAGTATCCCTGGCTCTGTCTGCCCTCTGCCCCTGGGTCTCTCCTTCGATGCCGTAGCCTTATCCTGGCCGTAGCTCCTATGGCCTCAGCCACCCCCAGCCCCACCCTCGGTCAGGCCATGTGGTACTTGGGGGAGTGCGGGATGGTGGGGGGGCAGGGGTCCCTTCCCAAAGCAAACCAGCCAGCGGTGGCCACACTGCCCCAGGAGCCCCCAGGCCTCATCACGCAGGGATACTGAACCCCTGGGGAGCTCATGGATTCCAGAAGGCCCAGGAACCTCCTGCGCCGCCCCCCGCGGCCCCCCACCTATATTGCATGTGTGTGCATAGATGCATTTTCCTTGGATAGAGGGGCCCATGGCTTGCCCCAGCTTCTTCCCGATCCCCCGGGGGGGGGGGGGGCCTCGGCTCTGAGCCAAGCTGCCCTGTCCGGTCTCTCCCCCTCCCCCGCTGTGCCTCAACCATCGCCTCGGCGTCCTCCACGTGGCCTTGGGGGGGCCCACAACGCTCCTGACCGGAGATTTCTTCACTGGTTTCCTGCCCCTCCGGTTCTCCTGCTGCATCTTCACCTCTCGGGGGCCCCAGTGCTCCCCCCCCCCCCCCGCCACCTACTACCACCACACTTATTCCCCTGCTCTATTGTGACCTCTCAGCCACGGCCACGGCCAGTGTGCATGTCCACGGGGGAGACGGTGTGGGCCCTACAGGGAGGGGGTGTGGGACTCTGTCGCTGAATGTAGGAGGGCAGGCAGCCCGCGCTCTGCCGTGGCTCTCAGCCCCATTCTGGTTCTGCTTTTCCTCTCTTTCTTGACCAAAGCATGTGCTACTCGCTGTTCATGAGGACCTGTCTGCAAACGTGCCGGAATAAACCTCTTCTCCCCGTGTGCCGTGTGCAAGGCCTCCCTTCCCTTCTCGCCCTGAGCGGGCCCTCCAGCGGCGCCTCGTCCTGTCCCCTGCCCGGCCTGGGAGTTGGGGCTGCTCTTCTCTCAATGTGGGGCTGAACCCCCGAAGGTGGCATGCTTTCCTGCACCCAAAGCTGTACTTCTTGGCGCCCATGCCCCATGCCAACCCAGGACCCTGGCTATGAAAGTAATGGAAAGAGTGTGGTCTGGGGGTTGGGTGGGGAGGGGGTGGTGTCAGCCTTCCTGGGGGAGGAGAAACTGCAGACGGGTCCTCAAAGAGGGGGACTCCTACCCTGCTCAGGTGCAGATACACAGCTTGTGCTTCCCGAGACGCTGGTGGAAACCCCCAAAACACACCTGGAAATGGTGAAACTGTGCCCAGCGGCAGACGTGTGAACAGCGGTGATGGTCAGCGGGTCACCAAACCTCTGCACCGGGTCTGTGACCTGCCCTCAGGGCTGCATCTCTGAAGTTCCCCAGTACTTCCACCACCTGGCGGGGGTTTGCTCTGAGTTTACAGCCTGGAGTCCAGCTTGGTCTAAGTCCAGGGGCCACTTGGCTCGGAAGACCCTGGCAATGGCTCTGTCCCTGGAGGACCACAGTCCTCTGTCCACGCTGACCTGCACTCTGCTTCCTCCTCTGCTTCTCCTCCTCCAGACAGGGCCTGATACTCTTCTCCCCTCTCTTGTCCTTCCAACCTCCCTCTCTGGGCCCCATTTTCTTTTTCACCTCCGTTGGTCCCTGAGAATTGGTGGGGATAGGGACTGGAGTGATAACACAGCGAGTAGGGTGTTTGCCTTGCACACAGCCAACCCGGATTCAATTTCCAGCATCCCATATGATCCCCTGAGCACTGCCAGGAATAAATCCTGAGTGCATGAGTCAGATGTACCCCTGAACATTGCCGGGTGAAAAAAAAAGAAAAAAAAGGGGAGGTGGGGACCGGTCACCTTTCCCCAGCCCCTGGAGACATCAACAAAGCCTTCAGGCTGGCTGGAAATGAGGGGCCTTACCAGCACAAACTCAGGAGTGGAGCAAGAGGGAAATGAGGGCAAGGGGCTCCTTCTGGGTCCCTCAGGGTCTTCCCTTTTGCACTTGAGGGAAATGAGAGAAACGGCCCAACAACATCACCTTCCTTCAAGGGCTCGAGCACCCCCAAGTCTGCAGAGATGAAGGTAGATGTGTGGAGCAAATGGGATAGACAGGAGGTTTCCCACAGGCCTGGCGGGTACAAGGAGAGCCACTGGGTCTCGCTGATGCGGAAGGACACATTCCTCTGCTCCAGGCTTTGGCTACCCTGGATAGGTTTCTGCCATCGGAAGGCTGTCTTCAGAAGGGCGCCTTCATCTGGGTGTTCTCCTGAAGGTCGGGACGTCCCCTAGAGATTTGTGGAGCCTTGATTGCTGCCTGTCAGAGCATTTCTGGGGGACCTGTCCTGCCACCTTCCTTTCTGGAAAGCATCCTCCCAGCCATGCCGGCCACAGTGGCAGCTTCCTCCTCGCCCCAGGCTGTGGACTGTCTCCTTTGGTCCTGTTTGTCCTCCCTGAAGCAGGAACTGTGCCTGCTCCAGTTCACACTGCCCACAGCCTCAGTGCAGAGACTGGTTCTCAAGTGAAACTGTGAGAACACTCCCCCGAGGTGTGTGTGTGTGTGGGGGGGGTGGGGGCAGGGTAATTTTAATTCTTTAGTGATAAAACATTTTTTCATTTAGGAATTAGCCATGGGCCTGGGGTGTCTGCATTTCATTTCTCTGTTTCTGACTGTTTTTGAAGGGGAGGGGAAGTAGTGCACAGGGATCACTCCAGGTGAAGATTAACCCAGGGTCAGCCTGGCAAGGTAAGCACCTTAACCCCTGCACTTTCCAGCAAGGGCTTTGCATTTAGTAAGTACTCAGTCAAGATTTGCTCATTGTGCCACTCACTTCCCTTCTTAAAAGTTCAGGTTCTGGGGCCAGAGCAATAGCACAGCAGTTAGGGTGTTTGCCTTGCACACCGCCGACCTAAGTTCGATCCCCAGCACCCCATATGGTTTCCCCGAACACTGCCAAGAGTGATTCCTGAGTGCAGAGCCAGAAATAACCCCTGAGCATCACGGGGTGTGGCCCCCAAACAATAAAAGAGCTCAGGGCTTCACAGTTCTGTACTCTTTCCACTCACATCCGTTAACAATGGGCTGGTGATAGCTAAGGATGATAGCTAAGGTGATAGCTAAGGTGATAGCATGGATCAAGCATTTCCTGGGTTCCCAGAACTTGATTTGGTTCCTTGTGCCTTTTTTTTGTTGCCCCTGTCCCCTCCCCCTACCCCACTCCCACACATACAACCAAGGTCTATGTTATGCCCACTTTATGGATGAGGGAGTCGGGGAAGAAACTTGCCCAAGGACAAATAAAGTATAAACTCCGGCCGTTTTCAGCATTTGGTCCCACAGCCCTGTAGCAGTATCCCCTGGGGAACTTGGCAGAAATGCAGGTCTGGGACCCCACCCGGTTCTATTGAATCAGAGAGGCTGGGGTGCAGCCCTGGGAGCTGAGCCAGCGCCCTGGGAATTCTGATGTGCATTCAAGTCTCAGAGTCCTGGTTTGGTGCCTGAGATGGGTGTGGGGCCCCTGGAGGACACGGCCCACCACCTCGCCCAGAGGCTCTGGGAGCAGAAGCTGGTGCTGTGGGTCTTGGCCTTGCCCGGCCCAGGGCTCTCTGGGCAGCGGGACCACGGGGGGCAGCGGGGGTGTTGCACTGACTGGACCCAGCTTTGCTGCCGAGCCAGATGCCACATGCTGAGCTCGCTCAGTATGATTTATGAGTTTCTTGCCCAACAGCAGCCACATATGGCTGGCTTCATTATAGGAGAGCTGCCACCCCCGAAGCTTCATTAATCATGAAATCCACACAGCACTGCCCACCCCACAGGCTGGGCATCATTTTACCACGAATTCCATGGTGAAACCTTGCGGTGGCTGATCTGTCATCCAAAACACAGGTTCACGCATTTCAAGTTCTTCAGTCCTCCCAACAGCTCCATCAGGTATTATTTTCAAGATCTCCCCATTTACAAAGTCGGAGATATTGAAGACAAGAGAGGTTAACACACTTGCTTGAGATTCCCCAGCTTGGGGGAAGTAGGGCCAGCATTTATAGCCATGAAGCATCCATGGCTCCAGGGCCTGTGCTCTGTGACCTTTGATTGCTTATTTATCTATGACTTTTTGTATCTTCATTCCAACCCTGAAGCTTTTGTTTTATCTTGGGTTTTATTTCGGGCCACTCCTGGCAGTGCTCAAGAGATGCTGATCTATTGCTCAGGGGTTCCTCCCAGTGGCATTCGGGGGCCCACAGGGCGTCAGGGACTGAACCAAGACTCCTGCTCCTTAGGCAATCTCCCTGGCCCCGGTTCAGGATTACTTCTCACCTTGCACTTAAG